TCATCACGATCGACATCGCCGCGCGTTCGCTCTGCTGTGAGCGCACGCAAAGGCCGGCCCGTGCGCGTGCATGCGGAGGTGTGGGACTCTGCACAGTTCCGCATCAAGGTGCGCAATGACACGCCCCACGCCAAGACGCACAGCGTGTCGTTCTTCTCCAATGATGTGCTCTCTGACGAGCTGGTGTATGACATGGAGGTGGAGGTTGCTGCGCGGTCGACGGAAAAGGTGTCCTGTGAATACTTTCCTGTTCGAGCGGGTGATTTCCGCGGCGTGCTGCTCATTGAGGACGTGCAAGGACAGGCGCTGGAGGTGCCGATCCGCTTCACCGCCAACCGTGCCGAGCCTGTTGTGCTCCCTCCCATGGCGTGCGCGCTGTCATCGTCATCGGAGGTGGTTGTCCCCATCTCAAACCCAATCAGCGAGGACATTGTTGTCGCAGTGGACGGCGAATCCCTGGACGCCAACGTCGTCTTCACCCCAATGCAGGTGGGCGCTTGCTTGTTTGTTGGCCTCTTGGCTTGTTTGATTGTAAGGTCGTTGGCTTGTTTGCCTGTTGGTTCATCTGCTTGTTTGTTGGTGCTGCACGTGCATGTGTGTTTCATGCAGTCCTGTCTGCATGCCTTTGAAATTGACACGTTCGCATGCACGTTTGCTTGGCTATTGTGGTTTGCGCTGCAAACTGCAAACTGCACTTTTCCGAGCTGCGCTCCTTGCGAGCTTTTATCTCACCCTCCACCACCACCACATCCGGCATCACTCGCCAGGTTCCGCTGCGGGCACACGGAACGGGCGAGGTGCTGCTGACGTTCACCCCAGAGAAGGCGTTGGTTGACAACGTGGTTGACCCCGACGAGCCTGTGACGCAGGTGAAGCAGATCATGCTCACGGGTACGCACGGCATCACGTGGCACTACGTCCTGCCTGTGACGGTGTTCCCAGGCGCCATGGGTGAAGGGGACCAGCTAGAGGAGGGAGATGGGAGCCACAGCAGGGGCTCTGTGGGCAGTGGCGTGTGGGCACACAAGGCACAGGTTGTTCCTGTTGTATGCGGGGAGGAGAAGTTGTTTGAGATTGAGATCAACAACAGCGATGCAGAGCGCCCACGCACATATGTGCTTGAGGTACAGCAGAAGGACCCGCAGTTTGGTGCACTCGCCTCTTTTACCACGCTCCGCAAGTCCCACAAGTACGCCACGTGTGTGTGTGTGTGTGTGTGTGTGTGTGTGTGTGTGTGTGTGTGTGTGTGTGTGTGTGTGTGTGTGTGTGTGTGTGTGCGTGCGTGTGTGTGTGTGTGAAAAACGCACGGGCATTCCCCATTTGATTAAGTTGTTTCTGGTGTGTGACACGCTGTGTCGATGGCGTTGGCCCCCGCTCAACCACTTTTCATCACGTCCTCCTTATCGTTCGGCTTGTTTGCATCACTCGCAGAATCAAAGTCCCTCCACAATCGACCAAGAGCATACCCATGTGCTTGCAGGCAAAACACATGTGCGCACACCACGCCGTCATCAAAGCGCGCCCCGCAGACGATGCTGCCGCAAAGGTAAGCGTCGTGACGTTTGTTGCTGTGTCTCCGGCCCTAGACACCGTGGATGAATAATACCTGTTGTGAGGCCGTTCATGCGTGAACCCCTTTTACCGCCGTCACACCGCGTGATGTCACAAACAGCCAATGTCCAGCCCACGCCAATGCTCATACAAGGGGGGAAGAGAGGGGAATGAACACACACAGTTCCGCCCACCCACCCAACACACGCACACACATACACACACAACCTCACACAACGCGCTTATTCACCCTTCCGTTGCTGCCTTGTGAAACAGGACAAGACATGGCATCTTGTTGGCCTTGCACAGCCATCTAAACCGTGCAAAGTCGGCGTTGTCAAGTGTATTGTTGGTGAACCAATCACGCGGACGTTTGCCGTGTCGCTGGTTGATGCGGCGCCAGACTTTGACATGTCTCGACTCGACGTTGAATTGGACGGCTTTGAAGCCTTTGATGAGGCAGCATGCTCGGTGAGACACTCTGTGTATGTGTGTGTGGGTGTGTGGGTGGGTGTGTGTATGTGTGTGGTGTGTGCATATATGCGCGCTTGTGCGTGCAAGTGCCTTCATTGTGGCGCTCAGTGTTCTCATCAAACTACACGCACACGCACACGCACACTCACATGCAACTCAGGTTGTTGACGATGAGGGCACGACCCTCAAGTGCCAGTGCACGTTCCAGTGCTCGCGTGTGGGCCGACACGAAGGCGTGCTGCACGTTTATCACCGTGATGGGTTCTTTTGGGAGAAACCGATTGTGGTGCATGCGCGCGCCAAGATCCTGGACACAATTGAGATTCAGTCGGCGGACCTCCTTGGTGTCGATTCGACAACGCTCGTCGTTCCGCAGTGAGTGCCAGCGGCATTGCCTGTATATGTACTGGGCCTAAGATTTCACACACACACGCACGCACGCACGCACGCACGCACACACACACACACACACACACACACACACACACACACACACACACACACACACACACACACACACACACACACACACACACACACACACACACACGCACACGCACACACACACACGCACACACACACACACACGCACACACAACCGTGCACCAACACTCATGTGCACACGCTTTCTGCTGTTGGCCCATGCAGGGATGTGCTTGAAGCTGGCGCGTACACGGTGACAATGGCACCAGAACGCAAGAGCCTATGGACAAGCGTGTTTGACGGCGTGGTGGAGGACGTCAGGGAAGGGCTTGAGATTCCGCTGTTCTTTGAGCCGGCAACAAGCACCGGTGTGGAGGAGGCGGAGCTGCGTGTGTGTTTTGAATCGGGCAACGAGATTGCGTTCACCGTTCGTGGCAAGAAGCCAGGCCTCTGCACCACCATGGCATCATGATGTGGTGTGTGTGTGTGTGTGTGTGTGTGTGTGTGTGTGTGTGTGTGTGTGTTTGTTTTTGTTTTTTTTTTTTGTGTGTGTGTGTGTGTGTGGTGTGTGTGTCTGCCCTCCTCTCTCTCTGTTTGTGTATGTGTGCTGTAGAGCTCATAGGATGGATGAATGCGTGTCAACAACATTATCCGGCCCCATGTACACACAAGTTCAGTTTTTGTTTTGATTGCACCTGTTGTTTCGCACCAGGCAAACAAATGAGCAACAACCAAAGGAAAACGAAACAGAGAAACCATGAAGACGCACAGAACGCACTGGTTGACAAGAGGGGTCAACACCGACCCACTCAAACGCGCTCATCCAACACACGGCTCAGAAGAGCACAGACAAGACTAGAGCACCCAAAAAGGGCTGGGGATAAGAAGAAAGCAACAAACGCATGCAAACAAACAAACACACACACACACACACAAACACGTGCACATGCACAAATGACAAACAAGCGGGCTTGAGAGAGGTTGACAAAAAGAAGGAGAAATGAGAGAGACATGCGTGATTTCAAATGGACAAGAAAGGAGGGGTGGGCAACGGGATTGCTTTGACGGATGGACGCGCCAGACATTGGCCTCAGATGCCGACCTTGAGCTCCAAGTCCTTGAGGCGGCGCTCATACTCGAGCTTCAGCTTCGAGCGATCCAGCCGCTGCACAACACATGCGCACGTAGGGAAGTGTTGCGTGAATCAAAGAGGGGGGGGGACAAACGAGTTTGATCAAGCATGGCCAACCCCATACACACACACCACACGCATACACACACCACACGCATACACACACACACATTCACACACACCACACGCATACACACACACACACGAACAGGCAATACACACACAAACACGTGCACACCACCACGTACCTCCTGGTCAAGTTCCTCCACCAGATGGTCCAACTTCTTCTTCAGGAACTGCACCGTCTTGGACAACGTGTCCACCGTTGCCTTGAGGTCAGCGACCTCTTGGCTCTGGTTGCCGCTCGCCGTGTCCGGCTTTGCTGGCTCGGGCGCAGATTCCTGCTTCTGGGCTGCTGGCGCGGGTGCGGGTGGTGCTGGCTTCTCCTCCTCCTCAGGCTTCTTCTTCTGTGTTGCCGTTGTGTAACAGTGAGTGGGAGTGGGATGTGCGTGTGATGCATTACAAGGGTCATTCATGTGAGCAGACAGGTCAAGTGTGTGTGTGTGTGTGTGAGTGAGTGAGTGAGTGTGTGTGTGTGTGTGTGTGTGTGAGCGCACAGGCGCACTCCCTCTTCCTTCCTCACACACATTACTAGCACAGAAACAAAACATCCACCCACCATCTGGCTGGCCCATGGAGGCTGCTCGTTTGTGTCTATGAGCAACAAAAAACGCGCAAGCACACACGCACACGCGCGTGGAGAACAATCAGTGCAAGAGTGAGTTGAACCGAACAGCGGCAAAAGTGAAGTATCACACTAAACAGCGTGTGAATATCGCACACCAATTAGCCACACAACAACCAAACAAACCCCTCGCAACACAAAGCGTGCCTGTCTTTGTCGGCGCTGGCGGTGCTGGTGCGGGCGTGGGTTTAGCCGTCTTCGGCTTGAGCGATGGAGGTGGCTTCGCCTTCTTGGGGGGAGCTGAAATGATTGGATGGGGAAGGAGGGAAGGGCAGGCCAACCATCAGCAATGATGAGGTGATACAAGGATGCGGCAGCACGCAAATGCAATAATACGTGATTGCGCAACCCTAAATCGTCCTCCTCTTAACGTTATCATCTTCTCCTCCCCCACTCATTCACACACACACACACACACACACACACACACACACACACACACACACACACACACACACACACGCGCGCGCCACTCCCATCACACTACTCTCACGCACCAACCTGGCTTAGGCACGGCTGGGGGCGCCGGCTTGTCCTCGTGTGCGGGTGTGGGTGCGGGTGCGGCTGGCTTTGGTGCTGGGGGCTTGGCAGGAGCAGGGGCTGCGTTGGGCCGCCTGAGAGAATGCGTGCGTGTGCGCGGGGCAGGAGCAGAGACGCTGGCGGAGCGGGAATCAGGACCTGGGGGCTTGAGAGCAACGCGGGGTGTGTTCTGCCAGCATCGAGGACACGCATCCAGGAAGAGAGGGGGATGTGAGGAATGGTGTGCACATGCACACACATACACATACACATACACAAATACATATACATACATATACGTATTTACACACACACACACATTTGCACACACATTTACACACACATTTGCATAGCACACAGCGAAGCCACGATGATCAACAGGGCGACTGACCTTATCTGCTGAAGGTGCTCTGTGCAGTTGGGGGGGGGGGCAAGAACGAGGCAGAGGGGTGACACGGGTGGGTGGGTAAATTTGTGAACCATCGCACATTTGCGTGCACACATACATGCACAAGTACGCACGCGCACGCACACACGCACGCACGCACACGCACAAACACACGCTCACACACACGCTCACTTACGGGCACATCTCGACAAAGTTGTCTGGGAACCATCCAGTCTTGCCGTTGAGCTCGCCCTGCCACCAGCCCTCATCCTCGTTCTTCTTGACGACGCGAATCACATCGCCAGGCGTCATCGCGAGCTCATCGTCCTGCTGCGGCTCATACTCAAACAGAACCTGCAATGTACACACACGCACAGGCGCAAAGCATGCAGGGAAGCGTGTTGGCAGTCAACCAACGCAAACACAGCAAACTGATGTCTGCAGCAAGCAACCAAACAAACTAAGCCAGCAAGAAAAACAAGCAAGCAAAAATACAACGCGTGGCCCTGCATTGAGAGTTGCACCTTGCAATAGAGAGCGTCGTCCTTTGGAGCAGCAGGGGCCGGCGCGGCAGCCTGTGGTGCCGGTGGCCTCGCCTGATATGGTAGGAGAGCAGAGTCAAGAGCGGATGCGAAAGTTGTTTGGGGAAGGGGATGACGATGGTGGTGGTGAGATGGCGCACAGCGAGGAACTGATGTGTTAAAACGGCATCAGTCATCGCAGCGATCACAGCAACAAAAAAGCAAAAGGAAGAGGGAATAAGTCCAACTATCTGGTTGGACTACGACAACAAGCAAGACGTTAAGGAGCTCACTCACTGTCTTCTTGAGCTGCACGTGAGGGGCGGTGGCCGGGGCAGGAGCCGCCTCCTTCTTCTTCTTCTCTGGATTCATACCTGGTGATACGTCCCAACAGCCACAGCCACAAGCACGACACGCACAAGAAGCACCAAGCACCGTCGCAGGAGGGAGTCAGACGAAGGGAGGGTAGGAAAGGACATTGAGCACAGGTGGTACAGTTGGTGAGCTGGCTCGTTTGCTTGAACCAAAACAGAGCCACCACGTCGATGGGCAAGGCAGCCACAACAATGATGCAGCATCAGCAACAGCAGCAGCACCTGTCTTGCGGAGTTTGATTTCGCCGCCAGCAAAGATGTTACCAAGACCAATGCCATGCACCTTCTTCGCCGCAATCAGCTGCGATTGCTGTACACGTGCGCAGTGCGGTGTGTGTGTGTGTGTGTGTGTGTGTGTGTGTGTGTGTGTGTGTGTGTGTGTGTGTGTGTGTGTGTTGGCACGATGTGTGGGTAGCTCGAAGTGTGGGTAGCTCGAAGTGCACACGCTTGCGTGCATGCGTGCAAGAAACAACAGCACAAAAGCTAGAATCAGGAAGAACACGCGCGCGCACATGCACACACACACACACGCACACACACACATACACGCACGCACACGCAGCAGCACCATACCCTGCGTGGCTCCTCCTCCTCTTCCTCTGCAGATTGGGGCGCGTCTGCTGTTGGCGCTGACGCAGAGCCGGCAGCGATGCGCTCAACAAAGTTGCTCGGGAACATGCCAACCTTGCCTGCGAGGGTTTCAAGAGAAGGGGATGGTTTTGGGGAGAATGAATGGGATTTGCAGTGAGAAAGCGGGCAGAGAATGGCTCACAAGCACAGCAGCTGTGGCCACCCCCACCAACACGTTGTAGCGACCACAGGGACGAACAGAAGGCCTGACAGATAGAGCGGGAAGAGAGGAGACGCACACACACATAGGCACACACACATAGGCACACACACACACACACAGTCATCCACACATGCACACGCACACATGCATACACCCACATGCATGCATACACACCGTTGAGCTCGCCCTTCCACCAGTCTGGATCGTTGTCGTCGACAATGACGACAATGTCGCCCTCCTTGATGTGCAGCTCGTCATCTTGCTCCGGCACGTGCTCAAACATGCACTTGGCCTTGGGCTGGTGCACCATGGCATAGAATGACAGTGGGACAAACACGTGAGCGGGGTACAACTGTGAGAGCAGGAAGGACATAAAACGCACAGACGCGACAACGGCCCAACCCTGTACACCACAACCACGCATGACACAAGCGTCGTCCACACAAACATCGTCCACACAAACACACACACACACGCACACACGTACACACACACCCTGGTGTCTGCTGGTTTGGGAGGGGCGGGCTTTGGGGGAGCGGGCTTTGGTGGTGGTGGCTTGGCGGGGGCAGCGGCCTTGGCCTCGCACTTTTCAACAAAGTTGTCTGCGTCACAAAAACATGGAGACAAGGATCAGAGAAGAATACCTCAACACACGCACACACTCTCTCTCTCCACTTATCTCCCTCTTTCGATAACACACACACACACACATGCACGTGCACGCACACGCAGGCAAATACACACGCGCACCTGGGAAAACACCGACACGGCCGTTGAGCTTTCCCTTGCACCATCCCTCGGCCTCTGGGTCAGCTTGGGCGTCCGTGATGATGTCTGTTCACAGAAGAAATGTACCCACGAAAACACAGAGGGTGAGAAGGCAAGTCTGGCTCCCCTCACGGATGATGATGTTGAGGACGCCCAAGCACTGCAACAAACAAACAGAAAGTCAACGACACGGTTGCAGGCTGGCGAGCAGTGTCATTGTGCACACGAACCGCCGACGCGCAGAGTCAGCTCATCCTCTGCTTCAGCATCGTAGTCAAAGATGGCCTTGAAGGTTGCTGGGCAGTGCGATGAGCAGCGATGTATGCGGTGTTGTCATTGGTGAGCATTTCAGTGCAACAGGACACAGCGAGCAGTGAGCTTGTCTGGGTCTGCTTTGTAAAACTTTGGTATTTTCACACCACATGCACGTACACGATGTACAATGCAGTGTTGCGCTGACTTACACACACTGGCTCACACACACTGGCTCACACACACACACACACACACACACACAACACATCGACATGCTCGCTCACCCATTGCTGTGGTGTGTTGTCTTCTTGTTCTGCTGAGCCAGCTTGTCTCGGGTCTGGACAATTTGCAATGACACCATCCAAAATTCCAACCACAAAGACTGCTCTTGTGTGTGTGTGTGTGTGTGTGTGTGTGTGTGTGTGTCTGTGCGTGTGTGTGTGTGTGGCTGTGTGTGTGTCTGTGCGTGTGTGTGTGTCTGTGTGTGCCTGTCTGTGTGTGTGTGTCTGTTGTGTGGCTGTCTGTGTGTGAGTGTGAGTGTGGAGGGAACAGTGTTTCGTCATGATGCTGATGCCAAGTTTCCATCCCCAGGCTTCATCGTCTCATTCATTTGCTTCTTCACTGCGGCGAAACCGAAAGGAACAAACGCAAAGACAAGCATGTGTCAACCACACGCTCATTCACGACACAACATCTGCACTGACAGTCCCGGCTGCACCATCGAGAGACACGTGCACGGTCACAGATTCGCCGCAGTTGACGCTGCGCCGCTTGTCATCCAGCAAGAACACCCCCTGTTTGAACGGCGTATATGCTCCGTCACCACTGTACTCGTCTTCAAACTCCTGTTGGGTCGAAGAGCAAGGTGAAGCGGAACAGAGGAGGGGTGTGCAATAAGCGATGTGCGATAAGCGATGTGCGATGGAGCTAGTGCAGGGGAGTTGTGTCGCAAGCGATGCACGCGCACGTGCAAACTCATGACAACGAAATGACGCACAACACACACACACACACGCACACACACACGCACACACACTTGTGCACTTGTGCACTTGTGTTCACCCACAACCACAACCACAACCACAACCACAAACACACACGCACACACACTTGTGCACTTGTGCACTTGTGTTCATCCACAACCACAACCACAACCACAAACACACACGCACACACACGCGCACACACACGGCATCACGAACCTGATCCGAGAGGTAGGTGCGCATGAAGACGAGGACAGCATGGCAGGTGCCGGTCGTAGTCATCGTGAGCACCACATCCTCGCTCTGGGCTGCGGCAATGCCGCCATCGCCAGCACTGGCCGCTGCAAAGTCGATGGTCAGCACCTCCGCGGGGCGGCACAGCAGGCGGTGCTCGTATTCCCACATGCTTTGCACCGACGCAAATGTCCCTGGTACGCGCACTGCTGCGTCGAAAGCAGACATGTCAACCCCGCATGCCTGGCACGATGACAAGGTACGGAACCAGAATCGGCGAGTGAGCACAGAATGCAATGATGGCATACCGGTGAGCACATGTGGCGGACGAGACGTCATTGAATGTGGGCGGCGAAGAGGCGCGAACACGAAACAAGATCAATCGACACAGTCGCAACAACAAACACACGACAATATTGCTTGCAGGACGCAGAACGTCACGCCACAAAGCTGCAAGCAAACACTGACATCCCCAAGCATGCACGCATGCACGCACACATGACCGGAGCGCACTGACCTGCTTGACGGGATCGCGGATGGTGTGCAGATGCGTGCACTCGACAAGAGCGCAGCAAACGACAGCGTGGTGTGGGAACACAACAGCGGTGGCGGAGAGGCGGTGGCGGTGGCGGGCGATGGCCCGCGCAAAGCGAATGGCCCTGGACGATCGTCAGTGCACCGCAGACATGATGGCAGGTGGGTTAAGATGGATGAGTAACACACTCAGAAACACCTTTACCGTGGTGAACCCGCACACACACACACACACACACACACACACACACACACACACACACACACACACACACACACACACACACACACACACACACACACACACACACAAGCAGTGAGTGACTTACGCCTGCCATGGCTCTGTGGTGTCGAGAAAGTAGGGTTCACCGACTACCAGATCCACGACATCAGCCGTATCGCGTTCGCCCATGCTGTCTTCATCGACGACGACGCTCAACCTGCGAGCGCGAATGCCGATGCGTGTCTTGGGTCGTGAGAGCATGCAGACAGAAACCACGATATCAGAGACACAAGCACATGGGGAATTCATTGTCCCACATCTGCACGCACACACACACACGCACACACGCACACACACGCACAAGCACACGCACACACACGCACACACACGCACAAGCACGCACATACACACACACAGCCACGTACCGAGCGCTGGCGCGAGTGGCGAATGCCTCCATGATTGGAGCAAGCCGACGATGCTCCACAACGGTTGTGTGTGCACGTGGGAACAACTGACATGCAGAAATGGCTGCCACGTTGACACTTCCAAACCTGAGCCATGACGAGGGGGGGGGCGAGAGTGCACCCGGCGTGAGCAGCTGTGCTTGTGTATGAGTAGTGACTTGTGAGTGACATGTATATACGTGTGCCAGCGGTTAGGAGGCGCAAGTCAACTCAAGCACGGTGTTAGGGTTAGCACCTCACCCAAGAATGGAGCGAATGTCCCTTCCATGCGTGCTGGCCGCTAATGCGTCGTGATAGTGCCTGCAAACGATAGCCGCAAATGAAGCATGATGATTGAATACGTCATGTGTGTGTGTATGTGTGTGTGTGTGTGTGTGTGTGTGGAGAGAGAGAGAAAGAAAGAGAAAAAGAACGCCTGCAACTAACGCAAGTGCCACGCACACAGCACTTCGTGCACAAGCGTACTGCGTTCGGCGGGTGTCGTTGAGGAGAGCGATGCGGTCGCGAGGGAGGAGGGGACTGCAGACGTGCACGTGTGTTGGGCGAAGGGGCGGTGCTGTGGCAGCCAAGGCGGCACTGAAGTCAACAGCAAAGTCGTCGTGATGCAGGCCAACGTAGACTGGAACTGTCTTTGGCTCCGCATCTTCGTTCTGCGCCGTTTGGAGCGGTTGGCGGAGGACGTACACCATTGGTAGCCAGTGCTCTCTCCACACGTGCGACTGCTGCTGCTGCTGCTGTTGTTGTTGTGGTTGTTGGTGTTGAGTGTGTTGGTGGTGGGGTTGCGCACGCTGTAGCCAGGATGGCTGTGTATCGATTACAATGTCATCCGCGAGCGTCATTGTCCACCACATGACGAGTCCATCCACTCGACTCCCTGATGCAACAGCCTGGACATGTGGATATGCATGTATGCGTGACCAAGAAGTGCAGCTCGTGCCTAGCACCATCACACATGACAAATGCACACCCGCACACTTGCACACACACGCACGCACGCACGCACGCATGCACAATTGCACGCACACACACACGCACACACGCACGCACGCACAATTGCACACACGCACACACGCACGCACACGCACGCACACGCACGCACACGCACGCACACGCGCACACACAAACAAGTACCGCTGTGGTGATTTCTGTGTGCACGCCATCTTCTGGAGGAATGGACCTGCAGTCCACGAAAAACACACAGGTAAGCTGACAGTGCACGTTCGTGTGTGGCAGTGCGACAATTTCTCTGCGCTGTGGCCGAGTCCACGCGTCTCCCTCGTGCGCGTCTCCGCTGTATCACATCCACCCACTGTTCCTTGACGGCCATCACCCGAGCAAGCTCACGTTAAATCGAGGGTGCATGCCGTCGTGGGGTCCGACAGGCGGGTGAGGGAGGAAAGGAGGCGATCCACGTGGACCTCATGTTTCGTCGAAGCATCGACACGTGATATCATCTGGTACAAACAGCAACACACGACCGAAGCGACAAAGAAGAGTTAATGGGCAGCATGGACAGCACACGTCGCATGTGTATGAGCATGTGTGTGTGCGTGTATTCATGTGCATGCACGCATATGTGTGTGTGTGATGCTTGTAGCTTAGGCTCACCTCTTCATCAAAGATGGGAAGACCATCCACGCTACACGAATCGAGGTCAACCCAGCTGCGAAGCAGGTCGCTTTGAATGAGCTGGAAATGGATATTCGCCGCACATGGGATGCACGTGCATGTGTCTAATCCCAATCTCGCCTTCACAGTCATTTGTGTGTGTGTGTGAATGTGTGTGTGTGTGTGAATGTGTGTGAGTGTGTGTGTGAATGTGTGTGAGTGTGTGTGTGTGTGTGAATGTGTGTGAATGTGTGTGTGAATGTGTGTGAATGTGTGTGAATGTGTGTGTGTGTGAATGTGTGTGTGTGTGTGAAAAGATGAAGCCATAGCGTGCCCAACATTGATGACAGAGTGAGCACAGGTCAAGTTCATGTAAAAGCGCGTCACAGAAGATGCACAACGCACACACATACACACACACACAACGTACACATGACTTGATGACTGACCACGGCATCTCGGATGGATGGAAGGATGCCCTCGCCCAAAAGTTCACTATCGACAATCTCGCTGACGATGAGGCCTACACGCTGCTGGTTCAGGTCCTTCTCCAGGGACAGCTCCGTCGACTCTTTGGGCACGAGCGCGATTGTGGCTTCGAGGTTGTTGGTGCGAATGGTTTCAGCTGCGATACGTGCCATCGGCCTGTACACCTATCAGGGAGCAACGTGCAACATGACTTGGCAGACCAAGCGCCGAGGTGCAAGGACAAAGAGAGACAGATAGACAGATGGACAGATAGAGACGCACGCACACGCACACGCACACGCACACGCACACGCACACGCACACGCACACGCACACGCACACGCACACGCACACGCACACGCACAAACGCATTACAGACACACACACACACACATACGCATATACAGACACAGACACACACACACAGATACACACAGACACCCACGCACGCACACGCACATATGTACACACACCGCACATACAAAACGCACCTCACAGGCGGTGACGGTTGTTGCACCGTGACGAGCCGCCAGCATCGCCAACAAGCCCGTGCCTGTACCAATGTCCAGCACGCGCTGGCCGGGTGCCAGTCGCCTCAGTGCTTCCGCATACTTGTCGTTCTGGGGGTGCAATGGTCGTTCACGGTGCCACGTGTGCGCAAGTCGGCGACGTGCGTGGAATGGGAGATGGTTGCGCCGCGTGTGTGTGAGAGCAGCCAAGACGCAAGCACAGCTGGTGGTGACAGTGGCAGTGGCAGTGGCAGTGGTGGTCAACTCGCTGAGTTGCATTGACACTCGTGTGATGATCAGCGTGGCTGTGTGGTCTTATTTGTACGAAAGGGATTGGCCACAGAGACAAGGTGCGCAATGAAAACAGAACAGAAGCGGGCAACAGACAAGCAACAGAGAAGCAACAACAGGTCATTCATACGCGATCATGGTCTGCTAGCATGGACGTGTCGGCCGTCCACGCACTCAACAACACATCCTCCTCCTCCTCTTCGACAACATCAAGACAAGGCACATTGCCTGCGGCATCATCAGCATCGTCCGAGTGCTGCATGTTGTTTGTTGCGCGTTGTGCGAAAACGTGTTTCGCGAGATTTAAAACACTTCGTGCTCGCGCATGTTGGATGGCACCATCTGGTCCTCCACGTATTGCTGCAGGTAGGCAGGTTGGTTGGTTGGTTGTTTGGGATGGCGAGGGGGAAGTTGCAGTGGCATGTATGCACGCAACGGGGTGTAGGGAGGGGAGAAGACATTTTGATTGTGAGTGGATGCACACGAGGAACTAACGAGATGCAGGACGTGAGGAGGAGAGCACGACGAGCACAGGCATCTTTGTTTGCTTGGCTTATTCAAGGATTCAGGTTAGGGTTGGTGCTGATGCTCAGCCAGTCAGGTCAGCCGTTCACATCAGCACAGCGATACGCAGGTACGCCCGATGCAACGTGCACTGCCGCACACTCCACTGCGCATACATACATGCGCATACACGCTGGCACAAAGCAGCAAACCTACGTTGACGGCCGCGTGCGCCTCTGCCCGGCGTGCTTCTTTGCGACGGCGTGCCTGTCACGACAACACACCACCAAGCAGCCACGCAGACGCATAGCAACATCAGCTGAGGAGGAGGAAAGCAGAGGGCAGTGTGCAGGCTCGACATCCGTGTGCAGAGCATCACGAGGATGCACAAGTCTCTCAAGAACAAAAACAACAATCCCCCCCCCCCAACACACCACATTGCATTACACTTCGGCACCCTCGTTGGAAGACCAAATGACACAACCAGACAACAAAACAACAAATCTCCTCAACACACCCGACTTACGTTGCATATCCATACTACCAATCAATCCCCCCCCCCCTTGCTCCCCACCCGGATTCTCTCGCTCTCTCTTCCTTTGCTTCGCTGGTCACGCACCACGTTGGAGGCGCCATCCACAGTGATGATGCGGTGATCGCGGGGCCCATAAAAGGAGCCGAGGAAATGGAGGGATGAGTCCTTCCGCAGCTGATCAACCACCTGGCACGACACAAGCACACGCACAAGTGTGAGTACGTCTATGACAAGGCAAGCAGGCCCATGGGGGAAGGCGTAGCGCATCGGCAAGACAGGGGTGTGGTCGTGCTTGCAGGCAAACCCCGCACGCTGACAATCACGTGTAGTCGGGAGCGCAGGGTGCGTGGTCTGTGTGTGGCACGCACCTGCTGTTCACCAGCAGGTGACATATCGGCGTCGTGGATGTCCAGGACTTGCAGGCACGTGTTGCTGCGGCAGAGAATGTCCGCCAAGTACAGTGCGCCCACATCTGTAAACGGGTTTGCGGCCACCAGCTGCCAAATCCAAAGGACAAAGAAACACGCACACACACACATACACACACACCACACCACACACGCACGCAAGCACACACACACGCACACACACACACACACACACACACACACACACACACACACACACACACACACACACACACACACACACACACACACACACACACACACACGTGCACAGTCGCCAACATGTGAGGGTATGCGAGTGGCCCAACAGCACGCCAAACAGGTTGGGATGTGTGTGAACTTCCGGCTCTGACCCGTACCAGAGTTTCCAAGGTGTTGTTAACGGTTAGCCCGTCTGCAAGGGCGCGAAGGCCATCGTCGTCCACCAGGTTGCTGGAGAGGATGAGCTTCTTGAGCGTGGTGTTGACCCGCAGCATCTCACTGAAGAACTCACAGCCTTCCGTGCCTGTGACAAGAAGGTGCGACAAGGGCAAAATGCAGAATGAGAATTCAGCAGCACACAATGAGGAACACCAGCAGATACCATGTCACACCACAGGACCAGGCACACGCAGATGAATCGAAAGAACAAATGATGTGATGATGCAGTGTGGCGCTCACTGATTTCGTTGCCACCAAGGCCGAGTGACTCGAGGCGGGTGTTTGTCCACAGGGCGCGGGCAAGCTTTTCCACGCCATGGTCTGTGATGCCGTTGCCGCCAAGCCCAATCGACTGGAGGTCGCAGCCATCGTCTGAGCACAAACAGAATGCGAATCAATGCACAAGGCGGGTGCCAAGTGTGAGATTACAGTGCACCAAAGAGCCCAACTCCCTGGGACGCTGCGTCTCTCACACAGCATGGTGCAGCAACGCGCATCGCAGCATAGCATGGTACATGACAGTACAACGAAGTACATCGCAGCACGCCACCTTTGAGAGCGGAAGCAATGTAGATGATGCCTTGGTCCGTCAGGGAGTTGCCACCAAGACCAAGCCAGTGGATGCGCATGTGTCCCAGCTGCTGCGCGAAGGACAGAGCACCTAAGGGTGACGGAAAAGGAAATGGGTTGGGGAGTGTGAGATAGGTGAGCTTGGTGAAGGTGGACGTGCATCAGATGGAGAGCAGAGTTCAGGGTGAAGAGAAAACAGCAAGAATGAGACCACACACGACAAAGGTACAAGCACACACACACACACATACAACCTGCACACACACACACACCATCAGGGCCAATTTTGTTGCCGCCCAGGCCCAGCCACTGCAGGGTGCGGTTGCGCGTGAGGCCCTCAGCAAGGTACTGAGCACCGGCAGAGAGGATGGCGTTTTTCCACAGGGAAAGGCCTACAACGACGCAGTGGAGCGAACGCAAGGTTACAACACCCGACCGTGTACATCCATGAGCAAAGTGGTCGCGAGACAGAGAGAGGAGCGGAGGAAGAGCGTCGCACAAACAAGAAGGAGGCGATCACACCACGCACGCACAGGCAAGAGAGCAACCCCCCCCCCCAAAACACACACACACACACACACACACACACACACACACACACACACACACACACACACACACACAGAACAGCGCTGAACAGCGGCCAACCTTCAAGGCAGTCGTTGCGCTCAAATGCGCGACTAAAGGCGCGTGCTGCCTGATCACCAATGAGGTTGTTGCCAAGCTCAAGGGTCACAATGTGACTGTACAGGGGCGGGGGAGGGGATTGAGTTGCGCATGCAAGCAGCGAGGGGGCGAGGGGAACCAATGGTGGGTGAGGTCTTCGCACGCACGAAAGAGTAGCATGAGCAAGTTGCCTGTCTCTGTGTGAGGGCGGGGTGTGATTGCTTTCTGGTGGAAATGTGGAACACATGTGAGCGTGGTTTGGTTGATTGCGTGCAGGCATGCGTGCACGCGCACTGGAGCGCTGTGATGGCGTGTTTGCGCGTCGCTTACTCGTTGTTGACGAGGCTGTTGGCGATGGCAATGGCACCGTTATCGCCGAGCGCGCAGTTGTTTAGCTTGACGGTGTTCAAGGACAAGCACTGCTTCAGGGCGGTTGCCAGGTACTGGCCCCCATCAGGCCCAATCTAAGCAAGGCATGAGGAGAGAGCACAGTGTGGTGTGTGGCAAGGTGCACAGGTGCATGCGGGGGGGGGTTGTGAATATGTTTTGACTGGTGACAACGTCAAACACACATCCTCAAACACATATCCTCACACACACACACACACACACACACACACACACACACACACACACACACACACACACTTTCTCTCTCTGTCTCTTTGCCTCACAGTCACACACACACACACACAGTCTCTGTGTCTGTTTGCATCACTGCACGTAGGAACTGAGGTGCTCATCACCGTGGTACGCACCGGGTTCTTGTCAAAGATGATGGTGGTGACGTTGGTTGGGGTGAGCTTGTGGGCCAGGGCATCCGAGATGTAGCGTGCGCCAATGTCCGACATGTTGGTGCCCGAGAGGTTGATCTTCCTCACAGAGCTGTATGTGTGGTGAGGGTGTTGTGTGTGTTGTGTGTGTATGTGTGTGAGTTGTGTGCTGGGGTGTAAACGAGCGTACGCGCGTGTAAGCTGCTCGGGCAGTGCTCAGGAGAGCACTCCACATCATTGAAAAAGCGCCAAGGCAAGCAAGCATGCTAGCATGCGCGCAAGCAAAGGCGAGAAGGATCAAGTCGGACCCAACAACAGAACAACGTACGAGTTCTTGTGCAGGGCCTCTGCGACCTTCTGCAGCTTTGCATCGCCGAGGTTTGAGTCTGTGAAATCCAGCTCTGCTTTTCCTTGGTCATTCTTCTCCAAGTCCTGGATGGTCTTGCTGTATCCAGACCCCATGGCGTCTCGATCGGTGGTCGGTCGTTGGTCGGTCGGTGGCCTGGCAGCACGTCAAGCACAGCAACAAACGAGCGAGAGGTCTGCTGGTCTGATGATGTTTCGTGGAACTTCGTGGGGGGAGGGGGAGGAAGCTCTGAAGCTTGCAGGCAACCAAAACCACAAACAACAATAAGGCAAAATGGGAGGGTGGGTGGGGCGTCGCTGTAAAAGACCATCGAATTCAAGCCCCGCAATTCTTTCTTTTTTTTATTATTCTTTTGACATCATTGCTGAGTCAGCGTGGCCTTTTATTTTTGGCTCATCGTCGACACAGCAATGCAGCGGACTGCTGAGTCCACTGTCGGGGTGAGATGCAAGAAGTGAAGCAAGCAAGCGAGCGACCGCATTTTACACCAAGCACCAAGCACCAAGCACCAAGCACCAAGCACCAAGCACCAAGCACCAAGCACCAAGCACCAAGCACCAAGCACCAAGCACCAAGCACCAAGCACCAAGCACCAAGCACCAAGCACCAAGCACCAAGCACCAAGCACCAAGCCACTGGCAAAGACCCAAGAGCAACACACAAAACATAACAACACAAAGGCACGCACCATGTCCAGCGTTGGTGAGACGGCCAAGGCCATCAACGACGCGTGCCACCGCAGCGGTGGCGTGTATGCGCAGTACTCGTGCAAGTACGTGTCCTGGGACGACGCGTGCCGCGGTACCGTCGGCGGCGGCCTCAGCTGCTGGGGCGCAAACATCACAGACACCTACCTCAAAGGCCGCGACGGCAGGAGCTTCTTCACCGTGCGATCGGACAACTGGAACGAGAAGCTCGGCTGCATCTCCTCAGACAAGATCGCCGTCGTGGTTGGCAACCACGTCGCTGGCGGCGACGCCGAGCTCAAGCCCATCACCCTGCGCTCCCTGCTCAAGAACCTGGGCTCCTACGGCGCATACTGCAAGGTCCCGGAAGGCACGGACCTGAGCAACGACGAGCTGGACCAGAAGGTCTCCATCCGCTTCCAGACCACCTTCCTGCCCGTGCCGGAGTCCGACGCCAAGCGCGACAAGGTCGAGTTTTGCACCGAGGCGTACAACTACAACACCCGCTCTGACGACGACCCGCGCAACCTGCTCGTCCTCGGCACGACGCAGGGCATCGCCATCCAGCAGGACGGCCGTGGCGCAAAGAAGCTCATGCACCACGCCGTGGACCCTGCCGGCGTGGCCCACAAGTACTGGCTGGAGGCCGAGCGCTCGGACCACGCCGTGGGCGGCCCACAGAAGGAGACGCAGGAGGAGAAGGAGGACGCCGTTGCACGCGGCAAGGCCACCGCCGCCGTCATCGGCATCCCCGCCATGGGCACGCGCTTCAACGCGCTCCTCACGGTGCAGGTCCCGCTCAAGCAGCGGCAGCTTCCCCGCCGCGCCATGCTTGGCTGCGCCATGGCCGAGAGCGCCATGCTCTGCTGCGCCACGAACGCCGTGGACAGCTTTGCAATGATGGCACCACCTGGCGCCGCCTTGTTCAAGAAGAAGGCAAAGAAGAGCGCAGCCATGGACCTCTACTCTGGTGGCCGTGGCCGTGGCGGCAGGCGGGCGCGCGGGTGCGCGCGGGCCGAGCCCAAGCTGGGCGTGGCCAACGCAGCCCGGGTCAGCCGCGGCACTGAGGCTGGTGTGTACCAAGGCCTGGCCACCAAACGGCTTGAGCGGGACACGAGCCAGCACGTGACAGTGACCGTGGTCATGTACAACACGGTTGCGGGCGGGGTGCCCAAGGTGGAGGATGTTCGGGCGGCGATTGACGACATGGAGGCGCTCTACAAGGCGTGCCACTGGACAGGACGGCTTGCGGATCAAGGCGCTGATTTCATGAAGGCCGAACTGACGGTCAAGGACGCCATGGACATTCAACACAAGGTCACCCACCAGCCGTACACCGCCACCTCCCAACCGGTTGCAAACTTTGACCAGTTTCCAACAGACTGAACCCCTGCATGGCTTACGTGTACTCTTGTGTGTATGTACTGTGTGTGTGTGTGTGTGTGTGTGCACTGTGTGTGTGTACTCTGTGTCTCTGTGTGTATGAGCGTGTACGCTGTGTTTGTGAGTGTGTGAATGTTAGAGGTGTTTGCTTCCGTGGTCTTGCTGATGCTGCATGCCTGCCTCCTTCCTACTCCTCTGTAATGCTCCCGCTTTCTTTGACTACTCTCCCATAATGGAAGAAACAATTCTATCATCACGTTCAACACGGACACCTTCTCAACTTGGCATAGCACGGCAACACCACCTCATCTCACCGACATCAATCCACCAACGACACTCAAAGCCGTTTATTTGAATCGCCTTGCGAAAAATGAAGGAACGCGCATTAGGGGAAGGGAGATGGTGTATGTCTGAGTGAATGAGAGTGATAGGCACACACAAGCAAGTGTACACGCTCACACACAAAGTGTACACACACACACACACACACAGAGCACATACACATGTACGCACACACGGACGCACACACACACACATACACACACAAGTGTACACGCTTACACACAGCACATACACATGCACGCACACCCGTGTGCACTCAGGCTGAGGGCATCATGAGGGCGTCAAAGAGCGCGCGATCAATGGCGCGTGCGCGTTGGTAGAGGGCCATGGCACGCACACGATCAGCCTTCTCCTCGGCCTCCTCCGCTTGGGCCATCAGATGACGGATTCGCACCTCAGCCTCTGTGCACGCAAACTGCCCCGTGTCAAACTCAGAGGGCTGGCCAGCGCGCTGCTTGAGCTGGTGGATGACAAACTCCCCAAAGACGGTCTTGTCGCGCGCAAACCCGCTTGCCGGCGCGGCAGTCATGATACTGAAGAGATCGCGTACTTTCAGATCTGGCAGCTGCGCCAGCAACGCAACAACGCGCTGCAGCTTGGCCTGGGTGGATGGCTGCTTGTATGTGGAAAAATGAAGGTCCACGCCAAGGTGCGACGTCACCATGAGCTGCTGAAGCATCTTCAGCACCGGGTCACCACCGAACACCTGCGTGTGGAGCGGAATAAAATGGATGCACAGAACGAGCACGGTCATGAGATGGCGATCCATGACAATGAACATGCATTTGTGTGTGTGTGTGTGTGTGTGTGTGTGTGTGTGTGTGTGTGTGCGTGCATGCGTTTGTGTGTTCTTTCTTTCTGTGTCTGTGTCTGTGTCTGTGTGTGTCTGTGTCTGTGTGCATGCGTTTGTGTGTTCTTTGTTTCTGTGTCTGTGTGTGAGTTTGCGTGTTTGGCAAGCTGCCCCCACCAGCAGACAACACCCAAGTGCAAAGTAGCAAACGTACGCCGCAGCCCCAGAGTCCCGAGGAGAGAACACGTGCAGCGCCTCGATGCTCACGAGATTCGCCGTCGCCCGTTGATTCGTCTGCTTGGGGCTCGCCCTTGTCGCCCGCTGGGGTGCGCAGTCCAAAGCAGCCGCAGAAGCCCGCGTATGCCTTGTTGAGGTCGCGGTACAGGCTGGCCAGAGTAAACTGCGTCAACCCGCGATTCACCACGGCGTCGATGGCAACAACATCACTGCAGGTGGTCGGGCGCGCTATGGCCGGTGTTGCCAGCGCAGAAGGCTGCATCTCGAGCTTCTCCTTGACTGCAAAGGTGGCCTGATAGCCCGTGTAGTCGACCACCATGCGCGAGTTGCGCATGACCGCGGCCTCGTGTGGACGCAACCGCGGGATGAACAGCATCGACACGAAGAGCTCGGGCCGCGTGCTGAACAACACCTCCTCCTGTGTCGCACTGGGAATCACCTCGTGGATCATCAGATCGCGGTTGGCAAAGTCCACAAGCGCAGACATGGGTCGCACGTCCTCCATGCGTTTGTCGTGCACGATGATGCGGCCGACGCAGCTCTCACACGAGGCCCAATCTGGAACGTCGAACGCAGCCCCAGGACTGTGCCTAGCGGTGTCATCGGACGCTGGGCTGTCGGTGGACGCGGTGCTGGCGCTGGTGGAGGCAGGCTTTGTGCCTTTCTCGAGGGATGGTGTTGCAGACGGTGGCGGTGCTTGTGCTGCGAGGGTGTGGCGCTCAAAGGCCACAAGCTCATCCCCAACCGTGCCCATGTGTTCCTTCATCTGCGCAAAGTAAAGCAGCATGCAGAGCGTGCGGTGCATTGCAACCTTGCTCGGGTATCGCAGCAGTGCGATGAAAGAGAGGGACCCCGTGAGAATGTCGTGGTCATCGCCGACATCGGGCAGCTCGCCCCGGTTGACGAAGAACTCTTCCCCGTGCGCAGCTCCGGGCTGCATGAGCGTGCCCAAGAAGGCGTGTGCAAGCAAAGAGCACAGCTGCTTTCGGGAGAACACAATCTGCTGCTGAGTCGCGGGTGCCGTGGGCATGAGAATCGGGATCGCGCTGAAGGTGTGTGAGGTGGGAGCGCGGCTCGGGACAGGTGAGCCGTCTGCACCCTTCACAATGGCGGAAGGTAGGTCGCTTTCCTCCGCAGCGTGCTCCGGAAACAAGGCAGGGAGGTCCAGCGCCTGTTGGATCACAAATGCCATGATGTCGGCTGGGTTGACGCCAAAGCGGGCGTCCAGCTCCCGCATTGCAGCCGGGAGCGCACAAGAACTGTCGACATGCAGTGCAGCTTTGCTTGTGTCCCCCAACAACTGCGTCCACTGCCTCAGCGCCTGCCGTGGCTCACGCCAATCAAGCCGCTTAGCCCGCTCCAGCTTGCCTTGCAGCGTCGCCCAGGGCCGCTGCACTCCGGGCGAGTGCGGCAAGCGAAACACGGGCATCCTCTTTGCCTTCAAGAACCAAAGCTGGATGAGGGGGGGGGGGGGCAAGGAGTCGACAACAAGCTTGTTGGAAAGCGACGAAAGTGTGTCACATCACACCACAACGAACAACGAAGTTTCTCACACAATGCAACGAACCACGACCAGTTCTTGTGGTGCTGGTGTCTTGCCGGTGTGTTTGTGCGACGACCATGATGAGGTGCTGCCGTTCTGGCGCCGGGCCATGGGCGCTGGCGCGGTTGACACTGAATCGTTGTTGATCCACTGGGACGCACATCCAGATTTCCTGCTTCCCACCACCACATCGGACGGCCACATACCAGTCTCTCCTTCCCAGGTGGTGGTGGTGGTGTGTGTGTGTGGGTCTGTATGGGTCTGTGTGGGTCTGTGTGTGTGTGTGTGTGTGTGTGTGTTGTGTGGTGGTTGTGTGTGTGTGTGTGTGTGTGTGTGTGTGTGTGGGGCCGTGCCTTACTGGTAATACATGTAGGTACTCGCCTCCCTCGTGCTTGTCGAGTCAGATGGCTGTACCTGAGCTGGACTGGGGCCAATCCGTGTCCAGCACATGGAGCTATACGACGGCCTGGAGGTTAAAGCGACCCCGTCTTTCTATGTGTTATCTGGGCCACGTGCTTTCCTTGCAAGTCACCATAAAGTGTGTGTGTGTGTGTCGTGTGTGTGTCTGTGTGTGTGTGAGTCTGTGGGTCTCTGTGGGTCTCTGTGGGTCTCTGTGGGTCTCTGTGGGTCTGTGTGGGTCTCTGTGGGTCTGTGGGTCTGTGAGTGCGTGTGTGTGTCTGTGTGTGAGTGTGCGTCCGTGGGTCTGTGTGTGTGTGTGTGTGTGTGTCCGTGGATCTGTGTGTCCGTGGGTCTGAGCGTTTGTGACAGTTGTAGTGAGAAGGCTCACGCATGTACATGTTGCACGCACGACACGACTTGCTGTCCCCCCCCCCCGCCTAACTCGCTTTCCAACCCGGTTGCCGTGACAGATGCAGGACCTTCGTGCAATTGATGAGTTTACGTCCATATCAAGCTTCATCCTTCCATTCTGCTACACCAAGTGCGTTTGTTGTGAAGAATGCAGTGGCAAAGAGATGGACGAGCACTTGTGGTTGGCTGCTTGTACCAAACATGCACTGTGTGGTGTAGAGCTGTTGTGTCATGTGTGGCGTGCTCGTGTGAGCGACCTTATTCTGCAATTGTCTATCGAGGCCGACTGTGTGCTCTCGTCTTGCTCCAGAGTTTTGATTCACCCTTCACCCTGCACCTGCACCTGGATCTTGCGTGCCATTCTGGACTTTTTAGGTGGATCTCAGATGTGGTTTGGGTCAAGCCACCACACGCTGTTCAAATTCCCAGTGGATGCTACAGGTGCAGTGCATGCTCCTGTGAGGTGTGCACGTTGTGCTCTGCTCAATCTTCGATTCTTTCTTTTTTTGTTTGAGGCAGTGACTCAGAGGCTTGCTCGTCTGCTCACACTTGCTTGGTGGTGTCGCATGATGTGATGACATGGGCTGCCTCTCTTTGTGCACAGCATTCCCCTCGGACACATAAAGCAAGATGCCGGTGACACCACTGTTTACATCGGAAGCCAACTTGAATACTTTGTCCGCGAGAACCTGTACAGACCACCCGAGGTGTGTGTGCGTGCGTGTGCGTGCGTGTGTGTGTGTGTGTGCGTGCGTGCGTGTGTGCGTGTGAGTGTGTGCGTGTATGTATGTGTGCGCATGTGTCTGTGTCTGTGTCTGTGATTGTGTTTCAGGCGCAGCATATGCACAAACGAATACGCCGTCCTTCCGAATCTACCCCATCTACTCTGACACACACACACACACACACACACACACAATTAAGGGTAGGACTTGTTAGATGTGCGAGTGTGTCGCCTGCACGTAGTTGACATTACGATGGTGCTGCGGTCTGGAAGGCCTCTGGATTGCACGTGCAACATTGTAGAGCGTCGCCTTCAAAGCAGGCATCGCCCTCTCCTTGACATCTGCCTGGATACCTTCAGCGCAAATAACCCGTTCAAGGTGGAGTGTGCTCGCATCATGTTGGCGTTCAGACAGCTTTCACTGCATGCAACCCCCTGTCCCGCTCACGCTGAACCACTTGCACCCTTGTCATATGCATCTTTGCCGCTTGCTGTGCGGCGTGGCGGTTGCCTGTGAAGGTGAAAGTTGCGTCAGGACTGGGAAGCGCCTGCTACGACAAACTTGCGTCGAGCTACTCCGCAACGCTGAAAGCCGTCGCCAGGTGAGCAAGTACAAACAAGCGCAATCGACCTCCACTGGCACCACTCAAACAACTTGTTGTGACAACATCGCCTCACAGCTGCATCTTATTTTCACGTGCGACTTCTGTCGCAAAAATGCCTTTGTTGACTTTGCTCACTCGCGCACACCATACAGGCGATCATGTGAGCATGCGATTTCATCCTGTTGCTTGGTGTGTCGACAACAAAGGCAGTTGCTCGTCCTCAGACACCTACAGTCACTGTGGTAGGTAGCTGGCTGTCTGGCCCTGTGTGTGTGTGTGTGTGTGTGTGTGTGTGTGTGTGTGTGTGTGTGTGTGTGTCCTGTCTCCCCGTCCCTCCGTCCGCCTCTCCATCTCTGCGTCTTTCTGTCTGTGTGTCTGGCAATGGTTCGCACAAATCATCCCTCACCAAACTCAAACACCACGTTACTTCCGTTTTACTTCAACATCCCGAACAGGACATGTGACAGCACTCCCGCACTTGAAGCGAACATGGCATCATTAGTGTCCGCAGTCACTGCCACTTCGTCAGGGGCCGATTTGGAAGAGGATCGCCACGACACCGCCTGCGCCATGGAGGAGACCACAAGCAACTTGCGGGATGTGTGGCGGTTGTGGATGTCGAGCAAGGCGGCGGTGGCATCCCAATCCTTGTCACCGTGGTTCATGCATCTTGCTGGACAAATGCATGACCTCCCACACTTCTCAGCTCCCACAGTATGTCACATCTTTTTGTTGCATTGCTCGCTCGCCTGACTCTGCCGTCGACCAGCCACACACACACACACACACACACACGCACGCACACGCACACACACACACCTACATGTGACTCACATGCGCACCAACCCCTTGATCTTTCATGCACAGGAAGAGCGCAATCGCTGGCTGGCAGCGCTACGTCGACTCTGTGAATGCATGCTTGCATGTGAGCTTGCAAGACCGTGTGTATGTGTGTGCGTGTGCGTGCATGTGCGTGTGCTTGTGCGTGTGCTTGTGTGAAAAGACTGTTGCAGCCCTCGCAATTAGTGTGAACCATGACTAGATCCAACGTTCTCACATCGTACATCTCTCCTTCTCCCTGTGACCATCTGTAGATGAGACACGTCCAAGCGTATGTACAATTGCGTCTTCACAGGATGATGGTTACACCAGTCCGGTTATTGTGGAGGAGGTAAGACCCCCCCCCCCATTTGTCCCTTGCACCTGTGTGTGTGTGGTGGGGTGTGGTGTGTGTGTGTGTGTGTGTGTGTGTGTGTGTGTGTGTGTGTGTGTGTGTGTGTGTGTGTGTGTGTGTGTGTGCCATTTTGAGCCGATCGCATCACGTGACGATCGTTGAGTGCTGCCGTTCGTGTCAACCTGCTGCTTCTCATCCATTGCCCCTCTGCACATCTCTCACTTTCTCCACCCCTCTTGCGTCCTTTTTCAGACTTTGGCCGAAGTTCTCAAGGTCCTCCATGAGGTATTACATCCCTGCAGACAGGTTGCCGCTGAGGATGCGGCGCGTATGACGTTCTCCAAGACGTGAAGCATGTGAGCTCGAGCGGCATACAAATAGGACATTTATTTGTACGGTGCTATTAAATGTTGACTAAATCTTGACGCAGCACACGAAACATTTTCTGTTTGTTTGTTTGTTTGTTTGTTTGTTTGTTTGTTTGTGATTCGTGGGTATGAATCTCTGTGTATGCGTGCGCGGTTGTAACTGTTGTGTGTCTGAAATTCGCGGGTACTGTGTGCTTTGTGGCCATCAAATTCTTGAACAAGCGAAATGTAGCGTGCATCAGTCAACGCACAGTGGTGACGTGGCAGTGTTTGTTGAGAGTTGTGTGGTTATGTGGTGTGTTTTGCAAGAGCATGTAACATCAAGCAGTCACACAACCTAAACACTTTCTCGTGCAACAGGTTGGAGGGAAATCACGCCATCGTTCCAGAACACGAGAGAGGTAAATTGTGGTGTCTGAACAAGGCAGGTCAATCATATGACTCAGCAGACAGGACTTGCCTGTCAACATTCTGCGCCTTTCCTGCGCAATATCGTCCCGGACGACCTGAGGCGAAAAGCAAGCATGGCATTGTGTACCTTCTTCTCGAAGTCCTCTGCGACACTGTAGTGTTGCCGGAGGTGCTGCATGATGTCGGTGTAGGTGTAATGGTCGACAAACGATGAATGAACAGTGTTGGAATGTGAACACAGAGGGAAGCCCGGAACCACTGGTCAGGCACAAGGAACACGTTCGGGCGTGCAGAGCAAGTAGGTCACGTAGAGAGACATGTTCAAACATACACGTGGGCGTGCTTGGACATGCCCGCTATTGGGAAGGTAACGACAAATTGAAAGAATCCTCCCCCTCTTCAAATCCATGTGTCATGTGCAACTGAGAAACCACGCCAGCGAACGCGATACTCCGTGCGTCCGTTTCGGCGGCGTACATTCACCAACTTGTTCACGAGGTAAGTTGGTTGTCCTGCTTCGTCCATCAAACGGGGGTTCATGTGGTGTCGCCAACAGAAAAGAAACAGAGCAGAAGACAAGAATTGTCCACAACGCAAAGTGGTGACGTGGCAGTGTTTGTTGAGAGTTGTGTGGTTATGTGGTGTGTTATGCAAGAGCATGTAACATCGAGCAACCACACAAACTAAACACTGCACGTGCAACAGGTTGGAGGGAAATCACGTGAACATTCCAGAACACAAGAGAGGTGAGTGCAAATTTGTGGTGTCGTGAAGAAGGGAGGTCAATGATGACTCAGCAGACAGGACTTGCCTGTCAACACTCCCCCGCATTGACCTACCTCTCTGCTGCGTTGATGTTCTGAAACGTGATGATGATGATGATGATGTCATGCATGTAGGAATGACATGGGCAGATGTAGGTGAGATG